TACTGTAACATTATTACATATGTTATGTAATATATACTCGTATGTATATAACACACAGATATGTATACACATCCATCCTGGTAGTTCTCTGGAGAATTCTGACTAATCCACAAATCCAAAAGAAAAAGAAGGCTTGTAAAAATGTCACCTTTCCATCTAAAGAGATGAGTTCCAGATCTCTGGATCCCTGGTGGTTTTTCCTTTGTGGAAGTATTTCCACCAGGTCAGGCCCCGGCAACTCAGCATTCTCTCTGATGATGTGCATGTTCATGTATACTTATTATAATGCAGAGGCCTCATCACACAGGAGTTTTAGCATCTCTTCAGAGCTCACACAGTCCACACCGAGCACCGAGAATGTTGCTGGTATCCTCCAGTTCCTACTCCGCTGAGTTCATTAGGTGTAGACCATAGGCCCTGGGCTGGGTACCCTACAGCTGCACAGTCACATGTATCCTCACAACACACCCCAAGGGCCTTGCTGCCAAAGAGCAAATCCTGCAGCCGGGCTATCAGGGCTCCTTCACCTTTGCTGATGGACTTCCAAGGATATTCAACCCTTCTCATGAGTGATCTCAATGCCCTAAGTCTTCTGGCTTGAAACTAATTTTGTCATGAAACCAAATCACACAGAATGACAGGATGCTGTTTCACGGGTCAGTTTTCTAGGGCTGCTGTAACAAAGCACATAAACCTAGTGACTTAAAGCCACACACATCTATCCTCTGTGCTGGAGGCCAGAAGACAAAATCAGGGTCACCAGGTGAGAGTCAAGGTGTGAGCAGGGCCGCATCCTTCGGGGGATCCAGGGGAGAATCTGTCTCCTGCTTTCCCAGCTTCCAGAGGCAGCAGGCATTCCTTGGCACAAGGTTCCTGGCTCAGTTACTCCAATGCCTCCTTCCAGTGTCACATCCCCTACTTCTATGTCTGACCCTTCCTGCCCACTTTTAGAAGGAGACTTGCAATTATAGCAGGCCCATCTGGATGATCTGGACTAATTCTTCTGTCTCAGATCCTTAACTGCATATCATCTGCATGCAGTCCCTTTTGCTGGGTAAGGGAACATAGTCACAGGCTCTGGAAAAGGACATCTTAGGTGGCATTAGTCATTAACACCAATAATTCTAAAATAATGAAATGGAACCCGAGGGTCTCATTGTCAGTGTTGATGTGACAAAGTGTCTCTGTAACTTCTCTGGAGTCTGTTTCTCTCTGGCTGTGTGAAAGGGGTGTGTGCCTGGGGCTGCACCTGCCTTCTTTCCTGAAAGGTGTCTATTCCTTTCCTGAAAAGTGTCTATTCCTGACAACCTTCCTCTCCCAGTCAGGACCACACTTCTCTCTGCAGGCACCTGAGAGGGATGCATTCCTGATCACCAACTGCACACACATGCAGATTGTAATGGATTCCTGCTTCACACTTCAGGGCAGTATGGCTGGGGACAAATCATCTCTCAGATTTGCATTTTCTGCATTTCTTTTTTTTTTTTTAACAGGTAGTGTTTTATTAGTTTCAGAGGTAGAGGTCAGTGATTCATCAGTCTTATATAACACGCAGTGCTCATCACCACACGTGCCCTCCTTAATGCCCATCACCCAGTTACCCCAACCCCTCACCCCCTCCCCTCAAGCAACCCTCAGTTTCTTTCCTATGATTAAGAGTCTCTTATGGCTTGTCTCCCCGTCTGATTTTTTAAAAAATTTATTTGACAGAGAGACACAGCGAGAGAGGGAACGCAAGCAGGGGGAGTGGGAGAGGAAGAAACAGGCCCCCGGTGGAGCAGGGAGCCCGATGTGGGGCTCGATCCCAGGACCCTGGGATTATGACCTGAGCTGAAGGCAGACGCTTAGCTACTGAGCCACCCAGGCGCCCCTCCCTGTCTGATTTCATCTTGTTTTATTTTTCCCTCTCTTCCCCTATGCTCCTCTGTTTTGTTTCTTAAATTCCATGTATGAGTGAAATCATATGATAATTGTCTTTCACTCTTTTATATATATATATATATATATATATATATATATACCCACACCTTCTTCATCCATTCATCTGTTGATGGACATCTGGGCTCTTTCCATAGTTTGGCTATTGTGGACATTGCTGCTATGAACATGGGTGCAGGTGCCCCTTCAAATCACTATGTTTGTATCCGTTGGATAAATATCTTAGTAGTGCAATTGTTGGGTCGTAAGGTAGCTCTATTTTTAACTTATTGAGGAAACTCCATACTGTTTTCCAGAGTGGCTGTACCACTTTGCATTCCCACCAACAGTGTAAGAGGGTTCCGCTTTCTCTGCATCCTCACCAACATCTGTCATTTCCTGATTTGTTAAATTTAGCCATTCTGACCAATGTGACATTCTATCTCATTGTGGTTTTGATTTGCATTTCCCTGATGCTGAGTGATGTTGAGCATTTTTTCATATGTCTGTTGGCCATTTGTATGTCTTCTTTGGAGAAATGTCTGTTCATGTTTTCTGCCCATTTTTTATGGATTCTTTGTTCTTTGGGTTTTGAGTTGGTAAGTTCTTTACAGATTTTGGATACTAGCCCTTTATCTAATAAGACATTTGCAAATATCTTCTCCCATTCTGTTGTTCCCCTTTTGGTTTTGTTGACTGTTTCCTTTGCTGTGCAAAAGATTTTTATCTTGATGAAGTCCCAATAGTTCATTTTTGCCCTTGCTTCCCTTGCCTTTGGCGATGTGTCTAGCAAGAAGTTGCTGCAGCCAGGTCACAGAGGTTACTGCCTGTGTTATCTAGGATTCTGATGTATTCCTATCTCACATTTAGGTCTATCATCCATTTTGAGTCTATTTTTGTGTATGGTGTAAGAGAATGGTTCAGTTTCATTCTTCTGCATGTGGCTGTCCAATCTTCCCAGCACCATTTGTTGAAGAAACTGTCTTTTTTCCACTGGATATTCTTTTTTTTTTTTTCAGTATTGAAGGCTTTTATTTTTGCCATATACATGAGGGAAAAGAAGAAAGTGCTGATGGTCCTCCTCTGACTTACAGAGCAATTTTTAATGTATTTATATTGTTTAGAAACAGCAATCTTTCAATTTTAATATTATTTCTAAGGCAAGAAATTATTGGGACAACCAATCAGAGTTATGGGTTTCTCTTTAAAGTTTACTTTCTCAGAATATGACAACAATTTCTATAGTCTTTGGAATTTCTCTTTTTTTATTATGTTCAGTTAGCCACTGTATAGTACATCATTAGTTTTTGATGTAGTGTTCAATGATTCATTAGTTGCATATAACACCCAGTGCTCATCACAACACGTGCCCTCTTCAATACCCTGTTACCTCATCGCCCCGCCGCCCTCCCCTCTGAAACCCTCAGTTTGTTTCCCGGGTCCATAGTCTCTCATGGTTCGTCTCCCTCTCTGATTTCTCCTGCATTTCAAAAATGTGAATAATAATAGATGTGGGTCATATCTAAATGTGCAAAAATAATAATTTATTTTGAGATTTAGAAGAATGAATGCACAGGAAACCCTTCCCACAACATTTGGAAGCAGCAGGCACTCATATGTGATAGCCATTCTTACATTTGTTTTTATAAATCATCTTCTGCCTGCAGCCTAAATATCTGGACACAGCTTTGAGTAAGAATTTACACCAGTGGAAAGCCCTCTCCCTCACATATATGCTTCTCAAACCCCAGCATGGAAGTCAGACAGACCTCCACGTGACTCCTTCATTCAGGTTTTGTATGACCTCCACCAACATTTCTCATCTGCATATTAGGAGTACTCATATCCTGACCTCTCTTTGTGCCATCTTGGCATAGCACTGTGCTTACAACACATCCCCCAGATAGACTCAAGGAAACACAGGAATGAGAACTTGCTGTTTACTAAAGGTAATGTGGGGGGAAAGGAAAAAGGACTTCCATAAGATGTCAGGTAACAACCCACTTTTAACATTCTGTATGTTCTTACCTAATCACTGAACTGTCTCCCCTTTGTCTGTCTCTGCCTCTCTGTCTCTTTCTTTCTCCACTTCACATTCTGACATACTTGACTAAACTCAGATCAACATAGAAACCTCCTTAGGGTCTATACCCTCCAAAGACATTGAGGAACTATTAACCATCAACCATCTCCTTGGAGACAAATAGTTTATATTCTTTTGTGCATATGTTATAATTAAAAGATAATGCAGAGGCTCCCCAGTGCCAGTCTGTGGACTAGGTGCATCAGATTCATCTAGGGAGTGAATAAGAAGTACCAATGACTTGATGTCAGCCAAGGGCATTCCCTTTCAGGATAGAGGTGACCCAAAAATCTGTATTTATATGTAAACTCCTCAGGGGGGAACAAAGCCACATCAAAAGATTTCTTTTTTTGGGGGGGCACCTGGGTGGCTCAGTTATTAAGCGTCTGCTTTCAGCTCAGGTCGTGATCCCAGGGTCCTGGGATGGAGCCCCGCATCGGGCTCCCTGCTTGGCGGGAAGCCTGCTTCTCCCTCTCCCATTCCCCCTGCTTGTGTTCCCTCTCTTGCTGGGTCTCTCTTTGTCAAATAAATAAATAAAATCTTAAAAAAAAAAGATAATTCTTATACAACACTGGACAAAGTGCCTGATAAGAAAAGCCCCAATGCTGGTTGTCTTTATTATTATGCTTATTTCTGTTTATCATTATGGTGGAGGAGGGAAGGTCCTCCCTTGCTTGTCCATTCAAGAAAAACCATTAGCATCCGTGCCCAGACATATCCATGTGATGTCTCCCACCAATCCAGTGGTAGACAACACATATTTAGACAGAGGTAATGGGACAGAGTTCATCACAAAGGGTCAAGACAAGAGATAGAGTCTATGCAAGAGGGGGCAACATATTGGGGAAAAACAAATACATAGCCTGCTCCAACACTTTTGGATGCATCCAACAATACCTATTCAGTATTTTCATACACTGAATTCCTACAACAGTCCTATGGAGAGAGTCGTTATTATTGTCAGCCCTGCTATCATATTTCCTCTTGACTAAACTGGCCATCAGGAGCTAAGGGGACTGAATTTTCTCTGGAAGCTTTTCTTTATGGCATTCTTGAGCTCCTTATTCCTGAGGCTGAAAATGATCAGGCTGAGAAAGGGCGTGAAGGCTGTATAGGTGGTGGCCATCAGAGTGTTATTGTCCATAGAATGGGGACCCTTGGACTTGAGGTAGATAACGGAGGCAAAACTGTAGTGCACAATGACCACAGTGAGGTGGGACACACATGTGGAGAAGGTCTTGTGCCTGCCCTCAGCAGAGGGGATCCTCAGTATGGTGGCCACAATGAAGACATAGGAGAGGATGATGAGGAATAAACAGCCCATCAGAGCTGTGACACACACCAGGACCACACTCAAGGTGACAGAGGATGTCTCCTTCCCACAGGCCAACTTTAGGAGGGAAAGGGAATGGCAGCCAAAGTGGTGGATCTCATTAGGCCCACAGAAGGTGAGGTGAAAAACTATCAGGGCCACCATCATCCCCATGATGGAGCCACCAGCCCAGGACCAGAACACTAGACGGGCACAGGTGCGGGGGCTCATGAGCACATTGTACCACAGGGGGTGGCAGATGGCCACGTAAAGGTCATAGCCCATGACGGTGAGCAGGAAGGAGTGGGTGAAGCCGAATGTGAAGAACATCTGGCTGGCACAGGCCATAAAGGTGATGGTGTGGCAGGTGGAGAGCAGGTCAGTCAAGAGGCGCGGGGCAATGGCCAAGGTGTAGAGGATCTCAGAGATGGACAAAGCACATAGGAAGAGGTACATGGGTGTGTGCAGTCTGCGCTGACTCCTGACAGTGGCCATGATGAGCAGGTTCCCCAGCAGCGTGAATAGGTACATCAGCAGGAACAGCAGGAAGAAGGCAGGCAGGAGATGCTGTGGGAAGTTGGAGAAGCCCACGATGATGAATTCATATACCATGCTATAGTTCTTACCAGCCACAGATGCTGCATCTGGTGAGACCAGAAAAGGAATGAAAGTACACGGCTTAATCCATGAAGGAGAAGCGTAGTTCAGCATCTGAAAACCTATCATGTGGTTAGTTGCATGAATAAACTAAAAAGAAAATGTCATACAATTATATCAATCTAGGCAGCAGTCCTGGATTACTAAAGTTCAATTCCTATTTATGATTTTAAAAATTGATATATAGTTGATATATAACATTCCATTATTTTAGATATACAGCATAATGATATATGCACATATATTAAAGGTTTCTGAAAAGCTTCTTCTCAACATAAAATCAACTAGGACTTTCTTAGCTGACTAAGAATATATGCTGCAAAACTAGGAAATAGTACACGAAGTGGGAAAGCAGGGGTGCATTGTTTTAGAATCAGGAAAAGCCAAGGTTACTCACTTTCTCTGCTGCTCATTAGCAGGGAACAGAAAGCCAGGAGTGGTGCTTGAGGAAAGATATAGAAAGAAGGAATATCAGGATCGAAAGGGAAGAGATGTGATCATCTACCTAGAAAGGTAAATGAATGAAGGTGGAACATATTTGAGCAAAGACAGAATGCAAGTTGCAGAAGACTAGATCAACTTCCCAAACTCACAGTATTTCCCATAGAATTGCACCTATAATAATCATGTTAAAGATAGAATTTAAGGAAAACAAAAGATAACATTACCGATAGTGACACAAACTATAATGAGATAGTGTTCATGCATTTTGGCCTCAGCATTTCTTTACACTAGAAACCTATTGAGTCCCCTAGAGGGTGTTTGTTTGAGAGAGCTATAACTCTCCATTCTCACCATATTAACAATTAAAACTGAGATTCTTTGAAAATATTTAGTTATTAACACATTTAAAAGGACAATAATCAACCTTTGATACAACCTAAAGGAACAATCAACGCCTGTTAACATAAGGAACATTTTAGGAAAGTAACTGCATTTTAAAAAACTCATTTAGTAGCAATGTCCGCAATAGCCAAACTGTGGAAAGAGCTGAGATGCCCTTCAACAGATGAATGGATAAAGAAGATGTGGTCCATATATACAATGGAATATTACTCAGCCATCAGAAAGGATGAATACCCAACTTTTGCATCAACATGGGTGGGACTGGAGGAGATTATGCTCAGTGAAATAAGTCAAGCAGAGAAAGTCAATTATCATATGGTTTCACTTATTTGTGGAACATAAGCATGGAGGACATTAGGAGAAGGAAGGGAAAAATAAAGGGGGGAAATCGGAGGGGGAGATGAACCATGAAAGACTATGGACTCTGAGTAACAAAATGAGGGTTTTAGAGGGATGGGGGTGGGGGGATGGGTTAGCCCAGTGATGGGTATTAAGGAGGGCACGTACTGCATGGAGCACTGGGTGTTATAGGAAAACACTGGATCGTGGATCACCACATCAAAAACTAATGATGTATTGTATGGTGACTAACAAAACATAATAAAATAGATAAAAAAAAACTCATTTAGTGAGAGGTGTGGTTTTGTTTTACATTTTAGCAAATTTGTCCAATTCTGGCTAGATGGAAGACAAGATGATACTTGTATCTGCTTCTTCATTCAGCCTGTGGCAATATGTGGTTTTAGTTGAAGCATATGACAAAAATACATCCTCACCTTCATTGGAAAAGTGAAGACCTGATGGCCCCCCAAAAGGGTCTCCAGGACCCCAGGGATCCTCATATCACACTTTGAAAGCCTCTGATTTAAAATATCTAGGAATGAACCAAGCACATGTAATATCTCCAAGGACAGAAATTTTAACCTCGGGTAGATATGCAGAAGATGGTCTGGATACACGGAAAATATGGAAACCAATGTGCTCTCTTGGATGGGATGAGCTAATAGAGCAATTATGTTCTTTCCCAAATTATAGTCAGTGCAACTCCATTTACAATTTAAGAAGTTAAACTTAAGAACTTTCTTAAACTTCTTTCTGAAAAATAAAGTCAGCATAAAGCTATACTGGTCTTCTAAAAATAGAGTACACAGAGAGATAGCGATCTCCCTCCCTGCACTGAGACTCACTATAGGCTTGGAATCATTTAAAAAAGTGTGACAATGGAACAGATGTGTATGATATGCATGATACATGGATCACGCTGGTTGGATATCTCAGAAAATATCCCTGCCTGACTCTAAACCCAATATGTGATAAAGCGGGTAGCACAAGTCAAACGGAAAAAAATGGATTGTTTACGGGTTTGTGGTGGGAAAACTGGTGATTTTATGAAGCGGTGCAAATCTGAATTCCTGCCTAAAACAACACCCAAAGTGGATGGATTTCACACACAAGATGAAATATAAAGTTAATAGAAGGTGTAGGAGAATAACTGTGTGATCTTAGAGTGAAGAAGGACTTCTTTTTTTTTTAATTTTTTATTGTTATGTTAATCACCATATATTACATCATTAGTTTTTGGTGCAGTGTTCCATGATTCATTGTTTGTTCATAACACCCAGTGCTCCATGCAGAACGTGCCCTCCTCAATACCCATCACCAGGATAACCCATCCCCCTCCCCCCCTCCCCTCTAGAACCCTCAGTTTGTTTTTCAGAGTCCATCATCTCTCATGGTTCGTCTCCCCCTCTGACATACTCCCCTTTTCTTCCTCTCCTGTTATCTTCTTCTTTTTCTTTTTTCTTAAAATATGTTGCATTATTTGTTTCAGAAGTACAGATCTGTGATTCAACAGTCTTGCACAATTCACAGCGCTCACCGTAGCACATACCCTCCCCAATGTCTATCACCCAGCCACCCCATCCCTGCCACCCCCAACCACTCCAGTAACCCTCAGTTTGTTTCCTGAGATTAAGAATTCCTCATATCAGTGAGGTCATGTGATACATGTCTTTCTCTGATTGACTTATTTCACTCAGCATAACACCCTCCAGTTCCATCCACGTCGTTGCAAATGGCAAGATCTCATTCCTTTTGATGGCTGCATAATATTCCATTGTGTATATATACCACATCTTGAAGAAGGACTTCTTAACCAAAGCTCAACAGCACAAATATTAAAGTGATGTGGAGAAAAGGGAACCCTTTTACATTGTTGGTGGGAAGGCAAACTGGTGCAGCCACTCCGGAAAATAGTATGGAGATTTCTCAAAAGTTAAAAATGAAACTACTCTATATCCAGCAATTGTACTACTACATATTTATCTAAAGAACACAAAAATACTGATTCAAAGGGCTGCATGCACCCCGGTGTTTATAGCAGCATTATCTGCAATAGCCAAATTATGGAAACAGCTCAAGTGTTGGATAAAGAAGATGTGGTTTATATACACAATGGAATATTATTCAGCCATCAAAAAGAATGAAATCTTGCTATTTGCAACAACATGGATGGAGTTAGAGAGTATTATGCTAAGTGAAATAAGCCAGTTAGGCAAGACAAATAGCACACGATTTCACTCATATATGGAATTTAAGAAACAAACAAAGAAGCAGAGGGAAAAAAAGAGAGAGTGAGAGGCAAACCAAGAAAGAGACTCTTAACTATAGAGGAAAAACTGTTGGTTACCAGAGGGGAGAGGGGTCGGGGGGTGGGAGAAATAGGTGATTGGATTGAGGAGTGCACTTGTTGTGATGAACACCGGGTGTTGTATGGAAGTGTTGAATTAGTATATTGAACACCTGAAACTAATATTACATCATGTGTTAACTAGGGAGATTGAAATAACAACTTAAAAATACACAAGATGTGTATATGTATGTTTTATGTATAAAGGAATATTTGAATTTCATAAGTGTATCTTCTGTAAGTGCTGATGCCATTCTCTGGAGATAAAAGTTAACTGATCAGGAAAGGAAACAGACACGAAAAGTTGCCCAAGGATTTTGTTCAACAAGGATATCAAGGATCCATGAACAGGCAGGTGGAATTTGGGAAAAGCACCTTTGCTTTGCTGAAAATTGGCCAGGAAATACTATCTAGAAGAAATAAGAAGCCAGTTACATTCAGAAGGAGAAACCTCTTTTGAGAAGTGTCTGTTCATGTCTTCTGCCCATTTTTTGACTTGATTATTTGTTTTTTGGGTGTTGAGTTTGAGAAGGTCTTTTTTTTATTATTATTATGTTATGTTAATCACCATATATTACATCATCAGTTTTTGATGTAGTGTTCCATGATGCATTGTTTGCGTATAACAGTGCTCCATGCAGAACGCGCCCTCTTTAATACCCATCACTAGGCTAATCCATCCTCCCACCCCCCTCCCCTCTAGAACCCTCAGTTTCCTTTTCAGAGTCCATCGTCTCTCATGGTTCACCTCCCCCTCCGATTTGCCCCCCTTCATTCTTCCCTTCCTGCTACCTTCTTCTTCTTCTTCTTTTTTAACATATAATGTATTATTTGTTTCAGAGGTACGGATCTGTGATTCAACAGTCTTACACACTTCACAGCGCTCACCATAGCACATACACTCCCCAATGTCTATCACCTAGCCACCCCATCCCTCCCACCCCCCACCACTGCAGCAACCCTCAGTTTGTTTCCTGAGATTAAGAATTCCTCAGGATTGATGCAGGCAAGATGGCGGAGGAGTAGGAGACCCAGATTTCGTCTGGTCTCAGGAATTCAGCTGAATAGGGATCAAACCATTCTGAACACCTACGAACTCAACAGGAGATCAAAGAGGAGAGTAGCAACAACTCTGAACAGAGAAGCGACCACTTACTGGAAGGTAGGACGTGCGGAGAAGTGAATCCGAAGCGATATTCGGGAGGATAGACGGTGGGGGAGGGGCCTCCGTCGGCCGCTTCTGGCAAGTGCTAGAGCCGCGGAGCACAAAATCGGACCTTTTAGAAGTCGGCTCCGCTGAGGGACGTCGCTCCAGTGGCTAAGCGGGGGTGGAACCCTCGCGGGACAGTGGGGTCTCAGGACCCTTGGGGTCACAGAAAGACCGGGGGTGCCTGAGTGCGGCAGAGCTCCCAGGTATCGGAGCGGGGAAGCCAGCTGCAGAGACGGAGCTGAGGCGCGGGCTCTCAGCTTGGGGTGGCCATAAACTGTGATCTGCGGCCCAGTTGGGCCACTGCTCCTCCAGCAGGGACCCAAC